TCTCATCATTTCCTGTGATAATCATGTCATCCACATACACTGCTAGCATAGTGATGTGACCCCTACTTCTTCTGAAGAATACAGTATGGTCGGTATTGATCTGTCTGTATCCCATACCAACCATGGCTCTCCTAAACCTATCAAACCATGCTCGAGGGGACTGTTTCAGCCCATACAGAGACTTCTTCAGCCTGCAGACCTTACCTACTGTCTGTCCTGTGCCACATCCAGGTGGTATCTCCATATACACCTCTTCCACTAGATCTCCATGAAGAAACACATTCTTCACATCCAGTTGGTATAGTTGCCATCCACCATTTTTTCCAGAGAAATCAACGTTCGAACCGTACTCATTTTCGCCACTGGTGCTCATCGTAGTCAATGCCGTATGTCTGGCTGTACCCTTTTGCCACCAATCGTGCCTTATATCGTTCAACCTTCCCTTTTGGGTTCTGCTTCACAGTAAACACCCACTTGCATCCCACTGCTCTTTTTCCTACTGGTAGTGTCGTTAACTCCCACATGTGGTTCTTCTCAAGAGCCCCCAGCTCCTCATGCATAGCAGCCTTCCACTTTGGGTCCTTCTTAGCATCCTGCCAGTTGTTAGGTATAATAACAGAATCTAATGATGCAATAAATGCTCTGTGTGAAGGGGATATGTGAGAGTAGGAAACAAATTGATCTAGATCCCAACCATATCTCTTAGGAGGATTTCCCGCATTACTACGAGTAGTCCTCCTCTCTGACATTGGTGTCGGGAGAGAGGAAGGAGTAGGAATGGTATTACCTAGAGTGGAGGATGGTGTAGGTGTCTTAGGAGTTGGAGCAGAGCTGGACAAGGGACTAGGCACTGGCACTGTCACTGTAGGCACATCTGGCTCCTTCCCCCTCCTACTGTATGTAAGCAACTCCCCTTGAGCTGTAGGCCTAACACCCATTGTCTCCTCCTCCTCCCCTTCATCTTCATCCTCCTTCTCTGCCGAGTACGGGATTGAAATTGGGATTGACCCCCTTGAGCTCTCACCATTCCCTCCCTCTTGCCTCGTACCTCCAGTATCGGGCAAGTCGCCAAAAGGTAAAGTAATCCCCACTGTATAGTACGGCTCGAGCTCCCGAAACCGTACATCCATGCTGACAAACAACCTCTTTTCCACCGGGCTCCAGCAGACATATCCTTTCTGGGTGTCATTGTAGCCCACAAATATACACTTCACAGCCCTAGGGTCTAGCTTCCCAACCGATGGTCTGTTGTCCTTCACAAAGCACACACAGCCAAATACCTTCAATGGTAGGGCCCCCCGTTATCTCCCTTCAGTGTCTCACGAGGAGACTTCCACTCCAACACACTCGAAGGCATCCGGTTGATTAAGTAAGCAGCAGTCAAGACTGCTTGTCCCCACAACACCTTTGGGACATTCATCGCCATCATTATACTCCTAGCAACTTCTAGGAGATGTCTGTTCTTCCTCTCTGCTACCCCATTCTGAGCTGGGGTGTATGGGCATGTAGTCTGGTGTAGAATCCCCTGAGCTGACAGATACTCCCCAAGTGTTCTGTTGGTGTACTCTGTCCTATTATCCGATCTCAACACCTTTACTGCTGCACAATACTGAGTCTGGATGTGCTTATGAAAATCTTTAAAACAGTCAACTACATCACTTTTGTTTTTCATAAGATACACCCAAGTGACCCTAGAGAAGCAATCAATAAATGTAACAAAAAACTTGCATCCATTTATAGAATTTACTAGGCAGGGTCCCCATACATCAGAGTGTATTACTTCAAACTTACAAGAACTCCTATTACCTGAACTAACGTAAGAGCTTCTAGTTAGTTTTCCAAACTCACAAGCATCACAATGTAGCTTCTGTTTATCTATTTTTCCAAACAGGGTTGGATACATTCTACCCAAAATGGCCCTGTCCCTTTCTCCTGAAAAATTACCTTGGGAATGTCAAAAGAAACAATACAATTTAGTTGGATGATAATGGCACTAATGGATAACAGGCTAACAGGAAATGAATGAGCATGCAGAACATTAGATAAAGTTATAGAACCTGTACAACTAACAGTACCCTTACCAACCACATCCTGTGCTGTACCATCAGCAATTTGGATGCTCTCTGCTTCTGCTAAGTGAGCGTAAGATAAGAACTCACTGGAATTGCCTGTCACATGTCTGGATGCTCCAGAATCTATTATCCAGGCGGTGGATCTTCCCTCGTTTGGGTGTGCACTAAGGGCGTAATTGGCATAGTCTACTCCAGTGAAAGTAGTAGATGACTCCTCAGACACATCACCTACTGCTCTCTGCTTCCTCCTCAGTGCTGCCAAGAGAGCCCGATCCTCATCAATGAAGATCATCTCAGCTTCTTCTTCCCTTTCTGCCACTGTCAAGTTTGCCCGATGGCCTCCTCTTCCACCTCGCCTGCCTCCACGCCCACGGCCACGGCCTCCAACTTGACCACGTTCACCCCAGTTCCTCTCCCTGGGTGGCTTAGGGCACATCTGTCTCAGATGGCCTACCTCTCCGCAGTTAAAGCACTGCCTAGTCTCCCCTCTGAATCTAGTGTTATCCGGATTGGATACCACCAGTGCATACTTCTCCCCTGTAAGTCCACCTGTCCCAGCCTGTAGCCTGATACGGCTCTCCTCCTGTATCATGGCTGAGACCGCCTCCTCCAGTGATGGGATCTTTGTCTTGGTTAGTAGCAACGCTGTTCTCTGCTCATACGCTGGAGCCAAGCCTCGAAGAAACAACATAGTCCTCTTCTACAAAGAGGCCTCGCGTTCCTTGCACCCCGGGTCCTTGCAGCTTGCCAGGGGCGAGAAGTGATCGTGATCGAG